GGGTCGGTGAAGGCGGTGAAGGATTTACGTGGGAGCATAGAAGTAGAGTACAATGGATGTTTCTGGCGATGTTCGCCGATTGCCCCAATAACACGTTGCGCCGTGACCTCTGATCCCTGTTATGCACGGTTAAATAAAAACAAGCAAACTAAAATATATCAACGAGAAAAAAATAAGAACAGCAACTACGGTCATCGTCCGAAACGTCACCTATCATTATACAAAAAAAAACATACCTAATAAGTTCTAATTCTTGGTTTGACGAGTTGACCTTCTGCCGCTGTGCAGTTATAATTCGCGTGGACGCGTAACGTCGCCGCGTTCATAAAGCAATGCGCAGGCAGCAGCATCGTCAGCGGTGGTGGTGATAATAGCAGCTGAGTCGGTTGGCGGGCGTCAGCTCAATACAATGCATAATCACCGGGCGTGCCCGCTCGCCTATTGTGGCTTTGTGTGACGGCACAAAGCTCCTCCGCACTCCACGCACACACCTCGACCGTTGGCGCAAACGCGCGCTTACGAAATTCACACCTTTGGCCATGATCGGCGAGCACCCATCATGGAGGCCCACGTCCTTCGAGACGAGGAAGAGGACGTGGAGCAGTGCCGGTGTGGTGCAGTGTGGCCGAGCGGCTTATCAGGCACCTTGGTCTCCCCCAGCGTCAGACTGTTCCAACCCTGTGGATGTAAGAAGGCCAGGCTGCTTTATTAACACTGAAGCCCTGACAATCGTTTTATTTTTATGTTATGAAAGTGGTACATTTCGATGTTCTTTGGGTGTTTCGGTGAAGCCACGTGGGTAGATAAAATAATCAAAATCACGACGTTTCGATTGCAACACAAGCAATCGTCGTCCGGTGAAAAAAGAGGACATTTAGCTTTGAAAGTCGCGCATGAGTTCGTGTGTGTTTAACCCCGCCGCGTACATCCGTGGGGTTGGTCAGTGTGCAGTCCACTCACGATGGATGGGAACGGAGAAGGGACACGGGGAAGGGAAGAGAGAAGAGGAGGATTGGGAAAATGAATGGAGAGACAAGAGCGTAGGGTCAGGAGAGGTGAGGATGTGAGGATGTTGATTTTATGTGAGGATATTTATTTGACTTTCATTCATTTGAACCCATCTACGTGACTTTACCGAAAGACCCAAAGAATAGCAAGAGGATACATCAGGGCCTCGACGCTGCAGCTGCTGCACGGAGCCGCGTCTGTTTTCACAGGGGGCGGAGTGGAGGGATTCAGAGTAGCGGTTGGCTTCACCTGAGTCACGTGATTTACGGGGAAGGTTCAGCTGATTTCGCTATTTATCGATGTTTGCACGGTCGCGCAGGATACCCATTCATATCGAGATCGATGACGGCCTGCGTAGGGTGGGGGCACAGGCCCCTCCCCCCGCTTCCCACGCACGGACGGCATCGGCGCTTAAATCATCGTCACCATTGGCAGCTGTGCACGGCGCCTCGAGCAGGTGACGCTGGGGCGGATGAGCGAGGGGACATCGCCCGCTCGACTGCTCTTCGCCGGGGGGACGGGGGGGGGGGGTGCAGCTCGTGCTCTGGGCCTGGTATTGAGGGTCACGCTCGCGACGAAAGCAGAAGTCGACACTGGAACGGAGGGGGGGGATGCGCCAGATTTTGCACGTGGGTCTTGTGACCCTGGAAGGATGAGTCGTCGTCATCAACATAATTGAAATATCTAGATTGAAAACGTATTTCCTTCGACCAGCTTTTTGTTTTATAGTGCGCTGTCCTTCCCGCGCACCTCCAAATCGCACGGTTGGCTACGTACGGTGCGAACGAAGTTGAACGTGAATTCGTCAGCATCGGCAGATCGCCCGTGGTTTTGACGAATCTCCGTTACTCGCCGCCGCTGATGCTACATGCAGTCGTGCATACTCAGTTCAGGCTGATTCGACCTAGGGGAGCTTTTGACGTCACTCACCACGAATGTTAGCCATGGCCGGGAATCGAACTCACGTTTGCTGGATTCGAAGGGCCGTGCGCTAAACACCGCTCCACCATGGCCTGTGATTAACCCGCGGTCGTAGGAGCTACGCAAGTTGCAAATCATGGATTGTGTCATTTCACATCAATCCTCTACAGAGACATTCATTGCCCCCACCATCACCTCGCCCGACCGGCCTTCACAGTTTTAAGTGCTGGAGAATTTCCCGGCACACTCGCGCGGATGAACTCTCCCTCGCAAACTCCCCGGGGGCATATGTCTCCCACGTGCTAACGCGGAATTCCATTCATTTTACACAACTGTTTGCAACTGTCAACTCAACAGAAAACCGAGAGGAAATTTCCATAACCTGCACGCCCCTCCTCCCCCGTACCCCCCCTCCTCCACCGCCATAAGATGAGCATGGTGAACATTTTTGATCGTGCTTTTTTTGGCTGTTTTGTACCGAGATCAAATGTCACAGGTTGTACGCACGTCATCATTAATGCCATATAGGCCTCGTGGTTTTTCCTTGCGGTCACAGTGAGCCCTGGGCTCAGCTCTGTAAGAAATTGGCTCGAGTAATTTCTCTGACTGGTGGACTGCTACGCGCGCATCCGCAGAGGCGGCGTCGTCGCTTTTGGGCATTGCAATTGCAGCGCAGAGGTCGGCACGCACGGGTCGATCTCCCGTTGCGGCAGTGCAGAAAAAAGTTTTTGGCTCTTTCTTGCAGGGGCAATTGCTCGCGCACGCTGTAAGAAATTGGCTCGAGTAATTTCTCTTGACTGGTGGACTGACAAATTAACATTCTTGTGATGTAGATATTTTTGTCATTATGACTTCATCAGCATCAGCATCACCTTCGTCGTCAGCCATGATCAATCCACTGCTGGATGAAGGCCTCCCCCAAACCGCTGTCCACCCATCTCTCTCCCAGCACGTTCCTGCCCACGAGCTGATTTCATTTCTTACAGGAATGCTCACCCCGTCAAATAATAATTTACGCATTTAATGCGTGCGGAATCGTGTGAGGATGATTCTGCCTGTGCCGCAATCCAACGACGACAAGAGATAAAGAGAGCAAACGATCAAAAGAGCAAATTTTAAAGTTGCTCTCGTTGGCTGTTGAGTCAATTCCATGAAGAAAACAAGACGCACTATGACGCCATGGGCGAGAGAGGGGGCCTCTTTCACACCGTGCCAGTTGTGGTGGCCTCAATTGACCATACTTCACCACGCTGGTTCGGAGCGGGTTCATGAAAGCCGGGGGGAGGGCGGGGGGGAATGGATGTAGGGACATAGAGGTTTGGTACAATAAGTGAATTGGCCGCACTGCACCCTGACGACAACGTGTCGCCTACAGCAGCCTACAACATCAGAGTGCAGCGCCACATTAAATACGCACTACAATGACAAGAGTTTAAAGCGATTTGAAGCATGTTTTATTTTTTTTGGGGGGGGGGGGGGCAGAGCTTTGTGACGTCATATTTGAAGGGGGGGGGGAGGGGTCTGACTTTTTGTGACGCCGTGTGATGAGGGGGGGGGGTGTCAAAAATCGTCAAAAATCGCGTGACGTCATTTATGGACGGCCCTTAAACTCCACCACCCGCTACCCCACCACGACCCCAGACCTCCCCCAGAGCCCCCCAGAGCCCCCAGCTCGGGCTCTGTGCAATGTCAATTGCTCAATGAAGCATGAACTGCGCAATTGCAGACGGGCTTTGGTGTCAACACTGGCAACAGCGAGTAAATAAATAATGGGCGACGTTTCGGGCAATGGTGCTTTTTCATGCGCTGAGTTATTGTGTATGTGATTCGTGCTTTATGGCTCATGCACCCACTTGCAGCATATCAGAATACAACACGCTGATGTGCACAACACACGATATACACAGCACTATGTACACAGCACTATGTACACAACACAGATATACACAACACACGGTATACACAACACACGATATACACAACACACGGTATACACAACACAAGGTATACACAACGCACGATATACACATTACACGACATACACAACACACGGTATACACAGCACGCTATACACTACACATTATATACATAGCACTATGTACACAACACGTGTTTGCTGCGGTGGTAGTGATTAGATTCTGATGCTACGAGGAGGTGTATGCTGTGGGTCGGGTAAATATTGGGGGGGGGGGGGTGGAGGAGAGGGGGTGGGAGGAGGCAGAGTTGGGGGGGGGGCTGAAGAAGGGGAGGGGTGGGGGGGATGAAGGGGAGGGGTGGGAGGAGGGGGGAGGCTGAAGGAGGGGAGGGGTAGTGGGATGAAGGGGAGGGGTGGGGGGATGAAGAGGAGGGGTGGGGGGATGAAGGGGGGGGATGAAGAGGAGGGGTGGGGGATGAAGAGGATGGGTGGGGGGATGCAGGGGAGGGGTGGGGGATGAAGGGGAGGGGTGGGATGAAGGGGAGGGGTGTGTAGGGGGATGAAGGGGAGGGGTGGGATGAAGGGGAGGGGTGTGTAGGGGGATGAAGGGGAGGGGTGGGATGAAGGGGAGGGGTGTGTAGGGGGATGCAGGGGAGGGGTGGGATGAAGGGGAGGGGTGTGTAGGGGGATGCAGGGGAAGGGTGGGAGGGGTTGTGGAAGGGGGAGGGGTGGGGGGATGAAGGGGAGGGGTGGGAGGGGTTGTGGAAGGGGGAGGGGTGTGTAGGGGGATGAAGGGGAGGGGTGTGTAGGGGGATGCAGGGGAGGGGTGGGAGGGGTGTGTAGGGGGATGAAGGGGAGGGGTGTGTAGGGGGATGAAGGGGAGGGGTAGAAGGAGGCGTGGCCTAAGTTGTCCCTTTAATCTTGTGGGGGGGGGGGGGGGGGCAACCATCGGCCCCTTCCACCCCGCGCAGCGTCGTCACCACGAGGGAGGAGCGAGCGAGTGAGCGCGCAGCTATTTAAAGGGACGGCCGCTACCGCCGCAGCAGCTGCTGCCGCATCTTCGGAGCGCGCGTGTTCACACCCACCCTCCGTCTACGCTTGTGTCCTCTTTTCCACACACCAACCGCACCCGTGCCGTGCCGTGCCGTCACCGTAGGTCGAGTTCCAATGGCCGCAGCGAGTGAGCAGCAGTCGCGGCGTTTCAGCGTGCTGGGCTGGGAGCAGGTGGAGCGTCTGGACGCCGTGCTGGACCAGAAGGTTCCCATTCACGGCAGGGGGAATTTTCCCACGCTCGAGGTATGGCGGCAGTACACACACACACACTACCTACTGTACACACTGTACACACACACTACATACTGTACACACACTGTCTACTGTACACACACTGTATATTGTACACACACTGTCTACTGTACACACACACACTAGCTAATGTACACACACACACTACCTACTGCACACACACACTACCTACTGTACACACACACTACCTACTGTGCACATTGTACACACACTACCTACTGTACACACACACTACCTACTGTACACACACTACCTACTGTACACACACACTACCTACTGTGCACATTGTACACACACTACCTACTGTACACACACTACCTACTGTACACACACTACCTACTGTACACACACACTACCTACTGTGCACATTGTACACACACTACCTACTGTACACACACTACCTACTGTACACACACTACCTACTGTACACGCACTACCTACTGTACACACACACTACCTACTGTGCACATTGTACACACACTACCTACTGTACACACACACTACCTACTGCACACACACTACCTACTGTACACACACACTACCTACTGTGCACATTGTACACACACTACCTACTGTACACACACACTACCTACTGCACACACACTACCTACTGTACACACACACTACCTACTGTGCACATTGTACACACACTACCTACTGTACACACACTACCTACTGTACACGCACTAGCTACTGTACACGCACACTACCTACTGTGCACATTGTACACACACTACCTACTGTACACACACTACCTACTGTACACGCACTACCTACTGTACACGCACTACCTACTGTACACACGTACTACCCACTGTACACACGCACTACCCACTGTACACACGCACTACCCACTGTACACACGCACTACCCACTGTACACACGCACTACCCACTGTACACACGCACTACCCACTGTACACACGCACTACCTACTGTACACACACACGCACTACATACTGTACACACGCACTACCTACTGTACACACACACGCACTACATACTGTACACACACTACCCACTGTACACACGTTACTTGTACACCAACCTAGCACTTGCCCTACAGTCTGTTGGCCTACACAGGGGAGCTTTGTATTTGTTTCCCCACGTGGTCTAGACTCTCTAGAGAACGCGTCGGTGTGTGGTGCATGTGGTGTGTGATGCATGTGGTGTGTGGTGCAGTGTGTGATGCATGCGGTGTGTGGTGCATGTGGTGCAGTGTGTGATGCATGTGGTGCGGTGTGTGATGCATGCGGCGCGGTGCGTAAACATCGCCACTGGGGAGACAAAGGCGGCCGGGCGTGGTTCTGGCCACCCACCCCCTCGTGTGCCGCGCCGGCCTTCAAAGGTGCTCCCTGACAGCACTTGCCCCTAGAGTCTGTCGAGGCTACACGGGGGATCTTTGTCTTTGTTCCAGTATGATCATGCGTGCGTGTGTGTATGCGTATCTGTCTTCCCGTACGTGACCTAAACAATTCTCTATCTGAATCTGCGTCTCTTCCTCCGGGGTCATCAGCGGCGCGTGCAGCGCAACCTACGACTTTGTTTCGTGCGTGCGGGCAGTGCTGTGGCCAGGAGCTTCAATACCAATGTCGAGGTCTGCCAGCCACGACGAGAGAGGAGAGAGGGCTTCAGGAGAGAGTTGTTTTGCCTGCCTCGAACTACAGCGGTGTTGCTGTCTAACTTTATGATTAAAAACGAATTCCTACGATTGATCACGGGGCGAATTGCTTACTCGGTACCATCACATGAACAGGCAGAGAGAGACATTTAATTGTGGTGTTGGTGGCAGCATTCGACGCGCACGCATTACGACACTCTAGCCTGCAACAGGCACGGATGGATATCACCAGTTGCGAAATCTCGTTTCATCCCATCTAGCGCATCCACCATGGATTGTGCAGGGCAATGGGGATGTTGCTGACATTTTCACCACCGGCGCAATCCGCTGTTGTGTTGGGGCACGCAACCCGGGCAGAGGGAACTCGCCTGTTATCATCAGCTGGCAGGCCTGCGGCAAAGTTTTGAAAGTGAAATTGCCATGCGGCATTGCATCTCAACCAAACTATTCAATTTAATTTTGCCAGGTAAGGCCCCACCTGAGGTTTCTAGCTCTTTTTCACAAGAGACCTGGCCCACAGATTGATAGCGACGTGGCTTCATCGCGCGGACATTGATAGCAGCCAAATACTCTGAACACGTGGTTGATTCTTCTCAATGTGGAGGGGAAAAACCGGAGGACCCGGAGAAAAATCCACGCGATCACGGGCAGAGAGAGAGAGAGACACGCAAACTCCAAATATACAGGCGTCAGGGTCGGGATCTAACCCACGGCCTCCTGACTACCGGGCAACTTGGTAAACATTTAATTCTGTTAAACGAAATATATTTTTCAAGTAAAGTTTCTTTAAAACAGAAATGAATATACTAAGGAAAACAATGCTAGGGACCAATTAATTGGGGGTCACAAGACCTCTGCCCCACCATGTTCAATGCATTACGATGTAGACTGTGTAGCAACTTTAATGTGAGCACATCTCTCGATGCTGGACATAAACAGTGGGCCTACGCTATGTTTTTTTATGGGGAGAGAAGGGGGACAGTTGCTGATAGGTTTTATAATCCAGGCATCTCTTTCGCTGTGAGTCTGTGGGTCTCTGTGCGACTCTTATGGATATGCTGTATGAGAGTATGTGGGTCTCTGTGTGAGTCTGGATCTCCATGTGATTCTATGGCTGTCTTTAGTGAGTCCATGGATCTGTTGTGTGAGGTGTAGGTCTCTGTGTGAGTCTGTCTTCTTTTTGTGAGTTTATATAAAATACAGTTTATTATACGCAGCATATAAATGCAACCGCGTCTCAAGACACTGTACATAAAGAGTGCAGCATATTTATTTTCATAAGCGAGGGAGAGGTCCAGTCAGCCACGAGCAGAGAGATACAAAAAAATTAACCCGTAAAAACAAAGTTTTCCACTATAAATCCTTTATATGCGTGGCGGCTAGAGTCCTCTTGTCCTCTGGCTTGAGATGGCTGCCACCTATGGGTCAGATGATTGCCTGGCAGCATTAAGCAATTGGTAATGAAATATAAAAAATTAGCAAATTTTTTTTCACGAAAATTAATTGTCACGCACAACGAGTCTGTGTGGAAAATGTCAGCTCGATTGGATCACGGGAAGTGGGTTAAAAAACGACCAAAAGATTTGCACGGTCGTAAGCGCGCAAGCAAGCGAACTTAATATAAATGATTAAAAAAATGGGACGTCGTGAGTCTGGATTTGAACAGGGTCAGGGATTCAACAGCACGGATCGCTAGGGAAATGGAGCTCCAGGCTAGAAAGGGCAGCAGACGAGAATGATCGACCTCCCCCCCCCACCCACTGATCGATTGCTCCTTTATTTGACCAGGGTGGGAACCCGCCGAGACCCCGAGTATCTTTTTACAAGGGGTGACATGGCACAATGCAAGCAGCAGATTGTTGAGGTCGGAACGTCTTGGCGGTGTTTCAAGCCCGGGACCCGCTTGAGTTTACCGATCGCAGGGTAAAGGGCTAGAGGAAGCGGGAAACGTCCCCCCCCCCCCTCTCTTAAGAAGCTATTTGGCCTCCTATTCCGAGCCGGCCAGTCGTATCGCAAGAGGTTGCCCACACTTTACACCACCACACGTGACCTGCGGGTCAACTTAACTGTGGGTGGACACATTTATACAGCTGCTGGGTGGACAGAGGTGCTGGAGGGGAGGGGGGGGGGGGCTTTGGAGCGGGGGGAGGGGGAGATTTAATAATCATGCACCGATGTTTCAACCGCAGTGCCGGGAGATCGAATGAAACCGGCGACCTCTAGATTGCAGGTCCATCTTGCTAACCGCTACACCACCGTCACCGTGGCAGCGTCCAATCGCTGAGTGTCCCACGGGGCCCTTTAAAGTCTCGCCACGTGGTGTTCTCTACGGTAATCGTGTTGTAAAAGAACTACAAGATTGCTAAACGGCTTAAATGCATACAGCAGCGTACAGTGACTTGCATGATTGCCAGATAGTGCTGCTGTGCTTGCAATGACTGTGCGTGTGCCAACGTGCGTGTGTGCCAACGTGTGCGTGCTGGTGTGTGTGTGTGTGTGCGCATGTGCCAACGTGTGCGTGCTGGTGTGTGTGTGTGTGCGCGTGTGCCAACGTGTGCGTGCTGGTGTGTGTGTGTGTGCGCGTGTGCCAACGTGTGCGTGCTGGTGTGTGCAATAAGCATTGCTCGGCATGTTGGTTGCCCAACGCTGAGCCGTACTCCGAACCGCCAGGCCTCCCCTGTCAACGCCGATCTCTCTGCGGCTGCTGCTGCTGCATCCTCGGAATCCAGAGCCCAATTCTAATAATAATAATATTTCTTAATGCGCTTTGTTTGCCCATAAAGAGCCTCGCCCAGTCTCGGGAAGAATTTCGTTTTGTTTTCGAGAGGGTGTCGCTGCATTAGCGATGATTTTGGTCAATTTGGCTGGTACCCGCTAACGGGTGTTTAAATCAATCAAGTCTTTATTTCTAGAGCACGATTTTGTGCAAAGGATGCCATTCAAAGTGCTGTACAGATTGAAAAAAAACCAAATTGGCGGAAAACCCCGGCGAAAACCCAACACGAATGGGGGTGGGTGAGGGTAGGTGTAGCACAAGAAACTCCATACAGATGGGTTCAATAATCCATCAGCCTCCTGACCACCTCGCATTCTGGACATTAAATCACGAGCCAGGCCTGTCGACCCTGGCATTGTGTGTGTGTTTGCGCCCGTTGAACTTCTTTCGCACCATACGTAGCCGACCGTGCTAGTCGGAGGTTCGACATCTTCAATTGTGACACATCTTCAATCTCTTATAATAATAATGCAATTTATAACGCGCGCGAATTTGCGGACGTAACGGCCGCAATTCAGAGGCGCGGAGCCAAGCTCCGAGTCACTCGAAAGCATGATTGTAGAGGTGAGTTTTTAAAGTGTCTCTTGAAGGAGGC